TAATAAATAGAATTAAATTTCCTTGTATCAAAATCTAATGTATATTTCTATTCTGAAGTGCGGCCCTGGACTATTATTTATAGGGCTGAGGTGGCCCTCTGTACAATTTGAGTTTGACATGCCTGATCTAATGTGTAACTTTATGTTCAAGGTGTAACTTCACCTTGACAGTGAAACAATTTCAGTAATGCAATGCAGCTGAACCACAAAATCAAATCTTACACACAAACTGCCCCTGTGATGATTACTGCCTTCTGAGATGTCACACCATGCAGTTTCACAGACAAGTACTGCTGTTGGCAGAAACGTGCTGTTGCCTTCTTCAGGTCTCATATTTTTTTTATTATTATTATTAGGGGGGGTGGGTTTCCCCATGCACTTAGACCAGTTATTGGTCCATTGTGCGCCCTCTTTAATTTCTACTGTCGCCATACCCTACCGGTACTGGTGCGTGCTATCAGCCCCGTTCAGCCAACGAGGTCGGCCCTTGGTACCTGATATTTCCCCCATCTACCAGAGGCATGGGAAACTTGTTGCCTAATTTTGCTCAGAGGTCTCCTAGAGACATGAGGATCTTTTACGTGCTGTAAATCTATGACACGGGACCCACAGCTTAAAGTCCCTCCCGGAGGACTTGTTCCCTGAATTTTTCCGCCCTTAAAAATTCCATGACCTCCGCCGGGTTTGAACCCGTGTACTTTGAGTCATGAGGTGGGAACGTTACCCTAGACTACGGAGGCCGCTCAGTTTTCATATAGCTTTATCTATCTAATGGGCCCCACAGAACAGCTGCCAATTTTTTTTTTTACTTGAAGATGGAGACAGCCAACTTTCTGTTTGCATCCATTCAGTGATGTCCCATAACACTGCTACATCATTACATGTCAATGATTTAACCAAACGTCTGAAAGGATTCATACAACCTGCATGTACCTGACAGGCACTTCAGCAAAACAGACTGGGAAATATCAGCTGACAGGGAAGTACAGAAGCAAACACAACATCTGCACTGAGGTCAAGGAAAAAAAGTTCTACAGATGGTGCATATGATAGCTGCTGCTGTGTCCTAACAAGCTCAAAGCTCTTGTTGTCCATGAAGATTATCAATACATATGATTCTACAAACAGAATGGCAAGATGACTGAAGGAAAATATAAGGAAGAATAAGAGTTTAGGGGAGATGTGGAGGGGGTCAGTCCATGGCTCTTCTTTCCACTGCCCCAGTACAGCGGAACAAAAATGAGTTCCTGCAGGATATGCCTCCAGATTGCTGGACAGTTGCTTTACATGTTACCCACTTTTGCAAGCACTACACTCCCTTCCCAACATCAAACATGGACATCTTAAAATTTCTAATGCACCTAAGAGTAGAATTTAATCGACAGAGACTTAACATCTCCAAACTTACTTTTCTCTATTTGATTGTATTCCATATTCATTAGACAATTATTCTGCTTTGCTACCATAGTACAGTTCGAAATATAACTAGGCCTAATGATGCTTGGTGCATCACACATTGACATGTCAGGGAGAAACTGCTAAGGACAAGAAAGACAGTTAAAAAGAAGCTGTTTGTGGTCTATAATCTTAGAGCTTTGCTTGTGATACAGCTGTCTGCAGTATGACAAGAGCAGGTAAGACGTGGAACTTAAATCCCCAGTTTATCAATGTTTGACAGAAACAAAATTACTAGGACCATGGAAATGAGGAAAACCTTAAACCAAGGAACACTCAGAAGACTCTTACCTCATAGCCTGTGCTAGGGTATGTGATCTTCGGCCAGGAAAAAGAAGCAAAGAGGAAGTGCCACATCACAAATGCAAAAGGTTGATATGGCATCAGAATATAGTTCTGTGTGGCGTGGATCTTGTGGCTCAGCATGTCCGCGGTACAGAACCACTCCAGTCCAAGTGACACCTGCATATTAAGAACGCTTTGTTACATACACACACACACACACAATTAACTGGGTGTTTAAACAAGTATCAACATTTGCATTCACTTGGTCTCCATTAATATTAA